CAAGAAATTATAATATTATTATCCGATGGCTACATATAGAACTAACACCCTTGGATCCCAAAGTTGCCACCCAAGCTGCATGAAATAGGAAAAATCACAGATACATGGATTCCCCCATGCTTGGTTTCCAACAGTGTGACACAGTTCAAGCATCTCTCATGCTTTGGTTTTAGTTAGTTTTAGCACCGGCTGACCACAAGACACTCCTGCCCATCCACGGTAATCAGAGAGAAGAAAAGGCACTGTTTGGACTACATTTCCCAGAATCTGCTTATCTAGGGGATGCTGGACGATTTTTCCAAGCTTTGCAGTTATGGTTTCAATTTGGAACACATAAAAGCCCTCCATCACAGGACGAGAGTCTTAATCGTTTTGTTTTAAGGTAGTTTTGAGTTGTATCTGTTCAGGACTACTATCAGTGGAACGGAAGAGGAAATTTACAGTGATTTCTTCTGCAATCTATGATAAGTAAATGTTTCCCCTTGACATTAAGTCTAGTTGGGAGTGATGCTCATCTCCATTTCGAAGTGAAGAGCTGGCATTGACCATAGACACCTCCATGGTCATGTGGTTGGCATGACTGCATGGAGCGCCATTACCTTCCCCCGGAGCAGTATCTATTGTTCTACTCACACTTGCATGTTTTCGAACTGCTAGGCTGGCAGAAGCTGGGGCTAACAGTGGGAGCTCATGCCGCTCCCCAGATTTGAACCTGCGACCTTTTGGTCAGCAAGTTCAGCAGCTCAGTGGTTTAACTCACTGCTAAAAAGGTAAAAGTGAAGGTTTACCCTTGACATTAAGTCTAGTCAAGTCCGACTCTGGTGGGTGGAGCTTATCTCCATTTCGAAGCGAAGAGCCAGCGTTGAACATAGACACCTCCACGGTCATGTGGCCGGCATGACTGCATAGAGTGCCATTACCTTCCCCTGGAGCGGTACCTATAGTTCTACTCATGCTTGCATGTTTTCGAACTGCTAAGTTGGCAGAAGCTGGGGCTATCAGCAGGAGCTCACCCCTGCCCTGTGGATTCGAACCACCAACCTTTCTGATCAGCAAGTTCAGCAGCTCAGCTGTTTAATCAGCTACGCCACCGCAGCCCCAATCTATGATACGAGCCCTAAGACTACTCCAACCATTTGGAGCAAATTTGGGGAGGTTGTGGATATATTGAAGTGAGTAGGAGAGGGCTGCCTTAAACAATTCCTCCCTGATCTGTTCCATCAAGCTAACTCACCAGCATTGGATTCAAGTTTGTACGAGGGTTGAATGAAAAGTAATGCCTCCACCTGCGTAACTCAACAGATGGCAGTACTGGTATACCGCAGGTAGTGGCTTGTTCTGTAGACTCTCCTCTACAGTTCCATTTTGGCTGGAAGCTTTAGCATTAAATGGTAGTGTTGTTAAAGTGCGAAGTATGGAACCCTGCGCAGACGGTCGGTCAATGCGACTTAAGCAACGTGCAGTTGTTGAATTCTTGACAGCAGAAGGTGTCACCCCAAAGGAGATTCATTAGTGAATGCAAGCTGCTTATGGTGATTGTGTTGATGTGAGTACTGTGCATTGTTGGGCGAGAAAGTTTAAAGATGTTGGGGTGGGAACATCTGACTTGCATGACAGAGTTGGACGTCCTGTGACACCAACCAGAATGCAAGCTGCTTATGGTGATTGTGTTGATGTGAGTACTGTGCGTTGTTGGGTGAGTAAGTTTAAAGATGTTGAGGTGGGAACATCTGACTTGCATGACAAAGAGTTGGATGTCCTGTGACAGCAACCACTGAGTTTCACAAGCAAAAGGTTGACAGATTGATTCAAGAGATCGTCGTATCACTCAGAGAGAAATTGTGGGAGTTGAAGTCCAAAACACCTGGAGGGCCGAAGTTTGCCCATGCCTGATCTACGCTATAAATTAAATGCAGTTTGGCACCACTTGGACTGCCATGGAGCAATGCTTTGGAATCCTGGGATTTGCAGTTTGGTTAGGTACCCGCACTCTTTGGGAGAGAAGGCCAAAGATCTTGTCAAAACAGAACTCCCATGAGTACATAGAACTGATTCATAAGAGTTAAAGTAGTGGGTTGTTGGAGGTTTTTCAGGCTGTCTGGCCATGTTCTAGAAGCATTCTCTCCTGACGTTTCGCCTGCCTCTGTGGCAAGTATCCTCAGAAGTTGTGAGGTTAAAGTAGTGTCAAACTACTTTCATTTGATAGCATCACGGCCTAACGAAATAGGTTTCCTCAAACATCCGGCATGCTATAGATGCAAACAAACACAAAAATAAAAATAAACCACAAGGCAGAGCTCTGCAGTCCTTAAATTTTCCAAAATCAGGTTCAAGTATTTTGAAGGAGTTGCATTTCACCGAGACACATTTCACATGAACGTGTTGATCCTGCCGAAAAAAAAAATATTATTGCTCTTCTCGTTTGTTGACCGTTGTTCAAGTCGTGCAAACCGCAAAAGAAAACACAGGTTTGTTTTCCCAACTGTTTCCCAGCAAGTGGGTATAAGAGACGAAGGAACATGTGGTGCGCACATGCATCGAGATGGAAGAGAAACTATACAGCCGCCTTCTCAAACTTGGACACGTCCTGGTGCAGCCATGGATTCCGCATCCGCAGATTCAACCAACCGCTGCTCAAAAATAGTCAAAAGCAACCCCAAAGGAAAACCTGATGTATAGGCCTCTCCTGCTGTAGCTTCTCTCCAGGTTCTCTCCAACTCTTTTATTCTCTATTTTAATAATTGTTCCCTATTTTATTTTTAATAATTGTTCTCTAGAGGAAGTCATAGGAAAGAGGGAGCAAGCTTGTTTTCTGCAGCCCTGGAGACTAGGACGTGGAACAATGGCTTCAAATTACAAGAAAGGAGTTTGAACATCTGAACATGAGAGAGAACTTCCTGACTGTGAGAGCCGTTCAGCAGCGGAACTCTCTGCTCCGGAGTGTGGTGGAGGCTCCTTCTTTGGAGGCTTTGAAACAGAGGCTGGATGGCCATCTGTCGGGGGTGCTTTGAATGCAATTTTCCTGCTTCTTGGCAGAAAGGGGTTGGACTGGACTTCCAACTCTAGGATTCTATGATTGTATAAACAATTTTACTATTCCTTTACTATTCTCAACCTGTGGGTCTCCAATTGTGTTGGCCTGTTTAAGGAGCTCCACTGGCTGCCATTCATTTTCCGGTCCCAATTCAAGATTGCAGGTTCTTACCTACAATGCCCTGAACGGTTTGGGACCCGACTACCTGCGTGACCGCATTACTGTGTACGAACCCACACGATCTCTTGTGGAGAGGCCCTGCTCACGCTCCCACCTCCTTCACAGGCGCAATTGGTGGGGACGAGGGAGAGGGCCTTCTCAGTGGTGGCCCCTCGACATTGGAATTCACTCCCTAAGGACATCAGACATGCCCCAACACTGGCAGTCTTTAGGAGGAGCCTGAAAACGTGGTTGTTCCAGTGTGCCTTCCCAGAATAAGGAGAACTCTCAGCAATATGCCCTCATAATGCACTTTAATACTGATTTAGGATTGATGGCGTTCCCTCATTTCTCTCTGAAAATCCTATCCTAGTTTACCCTGCCTTGTTCATGCCCCAGCATTTTAAATATTAAATTTCAATTATTACATAGGTTTTAAAATGCTGTATTCTATTGTTATTGTTTATTGCTTATTGTTTATTTTTTGTTTTTGAGAGTTTTTTTAGCTGTTGTATTGATTGTTATCACCTTTGTTTATTGATGTGCCGTGGGCTTGGCCTCATGTAAGCCGCACCGAGTCCCTTGGGGAGATGTTAAAGGTGAAGGTAGTCCCGACATTAAGTCCAGTCATGTCTGACTCTGGGGTGTGGTGCTCATCTCCATTTCTAAGCCGAAGAGCCAGCGTTGTCCGTAGACACCTCCAAGGTCATGTGGCCGGCATGACTGCATGGAGCGCCGTTACCTTCCTGCAGGAGCGGTACCTATTGATCTACTCACATTTGCATGTTTTCAAACTGCTAGGTTGGCAGAAGCTAGGGCTGACAGCGGAAGCTCACGCCGCTACCCGGAATCAAACTTGCGACCTTTCGATCAACAAGCTCAGCAGCTCAGTGCTTTCACCCACTGCGCCACCGGGGGCTCCATGTTAGGGATGTTAGAGGGGTACAAATAAAGTATTATTATTATTATTATTATTATTATTATTATTATTATTATTGGCCTACAACTCCCAGAAATCCCAGCCAGTTTACTAGCTGTAAGGATTTCTGGGAGTTGAAGGTTAAAATATCTGGGGATCCACAAGTTGAGAACCACTGCCTTAGTATATAATTACACTGGGCAAACTTTCTGACTTGGGGGTCGAATGGTGGGCTGGAACAAGGTGGGCAGACCAGGAGAGAGGGGGTTCTCCCCAAGCCCCCTCCCTGCCATTTCCTTCCCAGAAATCCTAACAGCTTTTTTTTTTGTCGTGTCAGGAGCGACTTGAGAAACTGCAAGTCGCTTCTGGTGTAAGAGAATTTGCCGTCTGCAAGAACGTTGCCCAGGGGACACCCGGATGACTTGATTTTTTTAATCATCCTTGACGGAGGCTTCTCTCATGTCCCCGCATGAGGAGCTGGAGCTGATAGAGGGAGCTCATCCGCCTCTCCCCGGATTCGAATCTGCGACCTGTCGGTCTTCAGTCCTGCCGGCACAGGGGTTTAACCCACTGCGCCACCGGGGGCTCCATATATAATATTAATATTATGATATACTAATAATTATATTATTATATGCTAATAATATAATACATTTAGTTCGGAGTTTACATTTGGACTTTGAGTATTTGTGCCAAGTTTGGTCCAGATCTTGTTTGAGTCCAAAGTGCTCTCTGGATGTAGGTGAACTACAACTCCAAAACTCAAGGTCAATGCCCACCAAACCCTTCCAGTATTTTCTGTTGGTCATGAGAGTTCTGTGTGCCAAGTATGGTTCAATTCCATCATTGGTGGAGTTCAGAATGCTCTTTGATTGTAGGTGAACTATAAATCCCAGCAACTACAACTCCCAAATGACAAAATCAATCCCACCAGTATCAAATTTGGGTGTATCGGGTATTTGTGCCAAATTTGGTCCAGTGAATGAAAATACATTCTGCATATTATATATTTACATTATGATTCATGAAGTTATGAAGTCGCAACAAAAATGATGTTGTGGTTGGGGGTCACCACAACATGAGGAACTGCATTAAGGGGTCGCGGCATTAGGAAGGTCGAGAACCACTGGTTTAGATCCATTTGCTTGCTGACTGCATGTGATACAGATTTCTGCATTGGTGCTTATCTTTCTGGAAGGCATCTTCCCCAAGTTTGGAAAGAAAAGGGTTTTTTCAAGAAACGATCTTGGCCGGATGGGGATCAAAAGATATTCAGGCGTTGGTTATCATATATAACAATAGAACATTACCACATTAAGTCCCAAGGACACAAAAGGAGGAAACAAACAAAGAGGAATGGCAATTCCAGTCTTTTCCCTTCTACCCAGGTAAGAAGAAATCTTGGGGTGGTGGAAGCCCAAGCAAAGCAGATGTAGTCGGGGAGCTCCGCGTCCTCCGCATTTTGCACATCTGGCGGCAGGAAGATTTACGGATGGTCTCCTTCCACTCTCCTCTTGCGAACTGCGCAGAAATGGGGAAAACAACAACAGAAAACACTGGTTGGCTTTACCCTGTTTCATTCGATTCCGAGAAGGATGTCTCATAACATTCAAAAGCAAGAAGGAAGAATTGCAGCAGCGGACATAAAAGGGGTGCAGTCACTGTTGGAGATGGCAACCTCTCAAAGTGATGTTTGTCTATATTGTGATGTTTGTATGTTATGTCAGCTTCTCTGGCTGCCCGTCTACTTCCGGTCTCTACTTACTCATTTATCGAAAAAGGCTCATGTATTTAAAAAAAGCTCAACTTTTGAGGTAAGTGATTTACCAGCAATGTTCTTGAGGGGTGGATCCTAAGGGGACATACATAGTATTGCAGTGTGACAGGAATTATAAGCCATACATAAAGAAATATAATATCTATGAAACAAAAATAATATAATACTCACAGCTAGTCTTTGTTGGTCAGTATACTCTGCCAAGCGTTTTATTCTGTAGCGAGTATAGGATCAAAATAACTCAACCCATTACTAATATAGCAAGTCCATTAGTCAGGTGATAATGACATCATTATCAGTTCAGAATACATTGGGGTAAAACCTACTCTGCTATAAAAAACAGTCATATGAATTGGTGTTGTTTAACTCTTTTGATGTTCTGTTTGCAGGGTAAAGATCCAGAAGGATTCCCATTGTAGAAGTTTAGTTTGGAAATCAGTGTCTCTGGGTGGAGTAACCACCTCTAAAATCTGTACTTGAAATGATTCAGGGCTGTGGTTCAGGTCCACAAAATGCTTATATGGAATAGAATCAGTGGAATGTTTCCTGATTTTACTTTTGTGACCAATGTTCCTGAGCCTGACTTCTCTGCTTGTTTGACCAATGTAAATAAGTGAGCAGGGACATGTGATGGCATATACTACACCTTCGGTGGAGCAGGTAGCAAAGTGATTGATTCTGTATTGAGTTTTAGTGTGCTGGTTCTGAAAGAACTTAGTTTGTACGAACTGTGAGCATATGGAACAATGATGACAGGCATAGTTTCCTATTACAATAGGTTTAGTGATCACTCGCTTAGGGTCTATATCTGAGTGAATCAAAATATCCCTGATGTTTTGTGTTCTCCTATGAGCAATGGGGGGGGGGGGTGTCTCTCACAACCCGGTACATCTCTCACCAAGTTCCAGTACTTTTTCACTAAAAACAGTGCTTTTTAAAAAAACTAAATCCAGACAAGACAGAGGTACTCCTGGTCAGTCGAAAGGCCGAACAGGGCATAGGGTTACAGACTGTGCTTGACGGGGTCACACTCCCCCTGAAGGTGCAGGTTCGCAGCTTGGGAGTGATCCTCAACTCATCGCTGAGCCTGGAACCACAGGTCTCGGCAGTGGTCAGGGGAGCTTTTGCACAATTAAAACTTGTGCGCCAGCTGCGCCCTACCTTGGGAAGTCTGACTTGGCCACGGTGGTCCACGCTCTGGTTACATCCTGTTTAGACTACTGCAATGCTCTCTACGTGGGGTTGCCTCTGAAGACTGCCCGAAGCTTCAATTAGTCCAACGTGCGGCAGCCAGATTGCTAACAGGAGCGGGGTACAGAGACCATACGACCCCTCTGTTACGCCAGCTCCACTGGCTGCCGATTAGCTTCCGAGCACAATTCAAAGTGCTGGTTTTGACCTATAAAGCCCTAAATGACTCCGGCCCAGTTTACCTGTCCGAACGGATTCTCCCCTACGAACCATCAAGGTTAATAAGATCTTCGCAATCGCATTTGGTGGGAACGAGGGACAGGGCCTTCTCGGTGGTGGCCCCTCGGCTTTGGAATTCCCTCCCACCAGAGATTAGATCTGCTCCTTCCCTCCTGACCTTTAGGAAACTAATAAAAACTTGGCTTTGGAATATGGCATTTGAGGATCGAGTCAATAACCCTTGTCCACATGGAAGGATGGCGACGAATTGTGACTGTACTGACGACTTGGCTTGTGTAATGTGATGATGATGTTTTTATTGTACATATATTTTAATGTATAATGATGATGCATTGTGCTATTTTCTATATTACTGTATATGAACACATTATTTATTTATTTATTTATTTTGGTTGCTTCTACCCCGCCCTTCTCACCCCAGAGGGGGACTCAGGGCGGCTTACAATAGCGAGGCACAATTCGATGCCCGCATCACATAACAACAATAGGACACTAACATCGGTTAACAGAACCAGCAATTCTAGAAGTAACATCCATTAACAAAACAACAATTATTATAGGCAAAACAACCATAAAACCAATAAAAGCAATAAAACTAATACAAACCATTTCTCCTCGTTGATGGTCAGCATTTCACAATCTCATAGTTCACATTCCAATGCCACAATTGTCAGTCCTTTCAGTCCTATCCAGCTGGTTGTCCATATCTAATTGTCAGATTGCCCAAAGGCCTGGTCCCATAGCCACGTCTTTACCTTTCTCCTGAAGGCGAGGAGGGATGTTGAAGCTCTAATTTCCCCCAGACGTGAGTTCCACAGGTGAGGGGCCACCACTGAGAAGGCCCTGCTCCTCATCCCCACCAGCCTCACTTGTGATAGCGGTGGGGTCGAGAGCAGGGTCTCCCCAGATGATCTCAGATTCCGAGGCGGGACGTAGAGGGAGATACATTCGGCCAGATACACTGGACCGGAACCGTAAAGGGTTTTGTAGGTCAAAACCAGCACCTTGAATTGTGCTCGGAACTGAATCGGCAGCCAGTGGAGCTGACACAGCAGGGGGGTGGTGTGCTCCCTGTATGACGCTCCGGTGAACAATCTGGCTGCCGCTCGCTGTACCAAATGAAGTTTCCGAACAGTCTTCAAGGGCAACCCCACATAGAGTGCATTGCAGTAGTCTATTCAGGATGCAACAAGAGTGTGGACCACATGTTGTGAACGGGCCTGAGTCCCTCCTTGGAGGTGAGAAGACCGGTATATAAAACTTCCAAATAAATAAATAAATAGATTTTTTGAGCTTTTTTTGATACACGAGCCTTTTTCGATAAACGAGTAAGTAGAATGTCAGTATATATACTTACCAACTTGATGTAACAAATTGGTTGGACTGGAATGGCCCATGAGGTCTCTTCCAACTCTAGGATTCAATGTGAGTTCTGTGCCTTGATTCTTATCTAAGAAGGAAACTTCCCCTTCACTTAAAAAAATGTTCAGTACAAAGGGACTGCTGCGTTGGCAGAAGCTGGGGCTAACAGTGGGAGCTCACCCCTTTCCGCTGATTCGAACCGCCAACCTTCCAGTCAACAAGTTCAGCAGCTTAGCGGTTTAACCCGCGGCACCACCATGGTCCCTATTTTCTCTACTAAACCTGACTTTTGAATTGATCTCATGTTTTATCTCTGAACGGTTAGTGATGTTCAGCTACTCATGCAGTTTGAATGAAAGACAGCCCAAGCTGGTGGTGAACAAAACAGACGTGCAAAAGAGTGCGACACAAGCAGGGAGTACACAGATCTGCCGGGAGACACAGATAGAGATATATGACCTGTGCGGTTCTAAAAGCGATTTCTCTTGCTGCGGTGCTCAGAACCCAAGCAGGCCTTTGCAATAACCCGCATCAGAAAGGTCAGGGCTGAAGAGGTGAAAAGGCAGTATTTGCAGAAATGTTTACGGCTAGGAAAGCAAGAAAAAAGGCAAGACGTCAATAGCAAGTCAAAGGAAGATTTCCCAGCAATGGAATATCAAAAGAAGGAATGTGTGGGCAATGGGACAGAGGTGTGAAATGAACACAGATAGGTAAAGGTAAAAGTTTCCCCTTGATGTTAAGTCTAGTTGAGTCCGACTCTGGGGGTTGGTGCTCATCTCCCTTTCTAAGCCAAAGAGCCAGCGCTGTCCGTAGACACCTCCAGACCTAGATCATGTGGCCAGCATGACTGCATAGAGCGCTGTTTGGCGACAGTTTGTTTATTATTTACGGCATTTATATGCCACCCTTCTCACCCCGAAGGGGACTCAGAGTGGCTTACAAAACATATATACATACAATATATTATATTATTAGCTGAGGGAAGCTTTTTCAGCCTAAAAAGGGGGCTGAAAAACTAGGCTTATACTTGAGTATATACAGTATATAATATAATGTAATAATATATATATATATTATAGATACATATAATATTTATTACATTATAATGTAATACAATATAATACTACTAATAATAATACAATATTATAATTATATATTTTATATTACATGTAATATTACTAATAATATTACAGTATAACGGTGTAGCACAATACGGTAATATATAATACTGATATTGTACTATGCTAATAATATAATATATTGTATGTATGTATATATATCTTGTAAGCTGCTCTGAGTCCCCTTCGGGGTGAGAAGGGCGATATATACTACTACTACTAATAATATTAATATTATTAATAATAATAATAATAATAATATGTGTGTGTATATATTATAATATGATAATTATATATTTTATATTACATATAATATTACTAATAATATTACAATATAATGGTATAATACGATATAGTAATATATAATGCTGATATTGTATTATGCTAATAATATAATATATTGTATGTATATATAGCTTGTAAGTCCCTTTTGGGGTGAGAAGGGCGGCATATAAATGTTGCAAATAAATAAATAAATTATAGCAGGGCTACCATTCAAATTGTGAAATTGTAAAATTATAGAGATGGGAGGGCCTACAAATGCCATCTAGTCCCACTTCTCCCCACGTGGGAATGAATACCCAACACCTCCTAACAGATGCCCATCCAACCTCTGTTTGAAGACCTCCAAAACTGGAAGGATCCCCCACCCTCCAAGGATGACAGTATTACAATATTATAAGAGGTCTCTTTATGCAAAGCAACATTAACCAGACTTAGTATAATAATACCTATTGCTTCTATAGAAGAGAAAGCCGTACCTAGATCGTTATTTTTTGTGATGGCGTTGGCTGCTCTTGTCCGTGGTCCCTGCTGCGTGAAGTGATACCCAAACTTAAGGATCTTGGTGTTTTCCTCAAGCATCTTTGCGATCTCCATTTCCGTCGGGGTCCCCAGCTGCTGCCTCTGTTAGGATCAGCAAACATGAGAAGTCAGTCAACACTAGTATTGGAGAGAAGAGTTGCTCAAAGGAAGGCTGCCAGCAATTTAGGAATGGGTTGCTGTGAGTTTTCCAGGCTGTAAGGCCATATTCCAGAAGCACTCTCTCCTGACGTTTCGCCCACATCTAGCACTTGAGAGGTCTGAGATCTCACAACCTCTGAGGATGCCTGCCATAGATGTGGGTGAAACGCCAGGAGAGAATGCTTCTGGAACATAGCCATATGGCCCAGAAAACTCACAACAACCCAGTGATTCTGGCCATGAAAGCCTTCGACAACACAGTTTAGGAATGGTTTATTTCAGTGTTTCTCAACCTGGGGGTCGGGACCCCTGAGGGGGTCATGAGGGGGTGTCAAAGGGGTCGCCAAAGACCATCAGAAAACATAGTATTTTCTGTTGGTCATTGGGATTCTGTGTGGGAAGTTTGACCCAATTCTATTGTTGGTCGAGTTCAGAATGCTCTTTGATTGTAGGTGAACTATAAATCCCAGCAACTACAACTCCCAAATGTCAAGGTGTATTTTCCCCAGACTCTACCAGTGTTCACATTTGGGCATACTGAGTATTTGTGCCAAGTTTGGTCCAGATCCATCCTTGTTTGAGTCCACGGTGCTCCTCTGGATATAAGTGAACTACAACTCCCAAACTCAAGGTCAATGCCCACAAAACCCTTCCAGTGTTTTCTGTTGGTCATGGGAGTTCTTTGTGCCAAGTTCGGTTTAAATCCATCACTGGTGGAGTTCAGAATGCTTTTTGATTATAGGTGAACTATAAATCCCAGCAACTACAACTCCCAAATTACAAAATCAACTCCCCAACCCCACTAGCATTCACATTTGGGCATATTGGGTATTTGTGCTCAATTTAGTCCAGTGAATGAAAATATATCCTGCATATCGGATATTTACATTACGATTTATAACCATGCTAAAATGACAGGTATCAAGTAGCAACGAAAACAATATTATGGTTGGGGGTCACCACAACATATGGAACGGCATTAAGGGGTCACGGCATTAGCAAGGTTGAGAACCACTGGTTTATTTAATTTGGGCAATTTATTTATTTATTTACGATATTTATATGCCGCCCTTCTCACCCCAAAGAGGACTCAGAGCGGCTTACAAGATATATATACATACAATATATTATATTATTAGCATAGTACAATAATACTATATTATTGTAGCATAGTACAATAATAATATATTATACAGGGTTAGTCAAAATGAATAGGCCAATAAGAAAATTAATTTTAGACGAATGTATGTTTATTGTAACCAAACTACAGCTACGTAGCGACAGATAAACTATCAAAGTTTTGTCTCACCTTCAGAGATGTTCGATATGGGCGCCCCGTGTGACACGGCAGATGTCCAAGCGATAGTCCAGTTCATTCCACATCCGTTGCAGCACATCCGACGTAATGGCATCGAATGCAGCAACGTCTGGGAAGGTGTTCGTTGAGGTCCTAACCCTAACCCTAACCCTCCCTAACCCTAACCCTATCCCTAACCCTAACCCTATCCCTAACCCTAACCCTAACCCTAACCCTAACCCTACCCTAACCCTAACCCTAACCCTATCCCTAACCCTATCCCTAACCCTATCCCTAACCCTATCCCTAACCCTATCCCTAACCCTAACCCTATCCCTAACCCTATCCCTAACCCTAACCCTATCCCTAACCCTAACCCTATCCCTAACCCTATCCCTAACCCTATCCCTAACCCTAACCCTAACCCTAACCCTAACCCTTGAAATTCTCGCTGGACCGTAATTACTGACATTGTTTTAGCAAATGTCATCACACAAAACGCCTTCTCTTTGCTTGATTCCGCCATTTTGAAAACAGCGACCCCTAGCGACGCCTAGCGGCATTAACGTACATGTGTGTTGCTCAAAAAAAACTTTTGATAGTTTATCTGTCGCTACGTAGCTGTGGTTTGGTTACAGTAAACATACATTCGTCTAAAATTAATTTTCTTATTGGCCTATTCATTTTGACTAACCCTGCAGCAGTCCTTGGATTTATTGAAAGAATTGAGGAAGAAAAATGGGAAAATAGGTTGGAAGAGAATCTCCTTGTCAACGTTTTCTGAAAAAAAATTGTTTGATGTATTGTCGAAGGCTTCCATGGCCGAATCACTGGGTTGCTGTGAGTTTTCCGGGCTGTTTGGCCATGTTCCAGAAGCATTCTCTCCTGACGTTTCCCCTGCATCTATGGCAGGCATCCTCAGAGGTTGTGAGGTCTGTTGAAAACTAGGAAAAATTAAACAAGACCTTAGAACCTCTGAGGATGCCTGCCATAGAAGTGGGTGAAATGTCAGGAGATAATGCTTCTGGAACATGGCCATACAGCCTGGAAAACTCACAGCAACCCAAATTTTGTTTTGTTTCGACCTTGCGTTCTTGCTTATTATTTTCATCCCTATGTCTCTGTTGTCCCATTGCTTGCAATGTTTGGCAAAGTCAGCTTTTCTGATTGCAATTCCCAGAATTTCCGAACAACATGGCCATGTGGGACTTGAACTCCAAGGAAGTTATTTTCTTTCAAGCTGCTTGATTCATTAAGATGGCAGGATAAACCTACCTGCAGATAATAGAAGCAAAAAAGCTTAGTGCTGGGCCTGAATGGGAGCTTGATTTGATTTGTGACTTTCCTAAGAAGCTTGGAAAATGCAGCAAACTTTTAAACTTAATCGCAGTGACAAATGTGCAACCACATTCCACCCATACTGGTCTTGGCAACCTGTCTTTAGATGGTTTATTTATTTATTTATTTGCTTTATTTATTTGCTTTATTTGTATACCGCTGTTCTCAGCCCTTAGGCGACTCACAGCGGTTAACAACAGTAGCAGCAAAAATTCAATGCTAACATCAACAAGATATTTAAAAACAATTAACACAATAACAATAATAACAAACAAGACAATTAACATCAGTAACCACTCATTGGCGTCTCATAACTGAAAACATGATCCAAACTCGTCATCCGTTGTTCCGTTCCTATATTCATTGCACTGCCTATTCAAACGCCTGTTCAAATAACCAGGTTTTCTCCGAAATACCATTAGAGATGGAGCCGATCTAATGTCCGTGGGAAGGGCGTTCCACAGCCGAGGGGCCACCACCGAGAAGGCCCTGTCTCTTGTCCCCGCCAGCCGCGCCTGTGTTGCAGGCGGGATCGAGAGCAGGGCCTCCCCGGAAGATCTCAAAGTCCTAGTGGGTTCATAAGGAGAGATGCGTTCGGATAGGTAACTTGGGCCAGAACCGTTTAGGGCTTTATAGGCCAAAGCCAGCACTTTGAATTGGGCCCGGTAGCAAATTGGTAGCCAATGGAGCTGGCGCAACAAAGGAGTTGTATGCTCCCTGCGCGCCGCTCCTGTTAGTATCATGGACCAATTGAAGCTTCCGAGCCATCTTCAAAGGCAACCCCACGTACAGAGTGTTGCAGTAGTCTAAACGGGATGTAACCAGAGCGTGGACTACCGTGGCCAAGTCAGACTTCCCAAGGTACGGGCGCAGCTGGCGCACAAGTTTTAACTGTGCAAATGCTCCCCTGGTCACCGCCGAAACCTGGAGATCCAGGCTCAGCGATGAGTCCAGGGTCACACCCAAGCTGCAAACCTGCGTCTTCAGGGGGAGTGCGACCCCATCCAGCACAGGCTGTAACCCTATGCCTATGGTTAATCTTAACTATGCAATTAAACTTACCTGGTTATCAATTTTGATCTCAGTGAGGGTTTCATTCTCTCGAAGCGCATCCACCAGCGCCAGGATCCCAGCGGAGGTGATGAAGTTGGACTCAACGTTGAGGCTCTTCAGTGTTTTGTTCGCCCTGAGCATGTCCGCAAAGGCCTTGGGAACACAAGCAGGATCAATGTTTTCAGAGGGTATGGAAATCTGAAAGGCAGCTGTGCCTGGACCAACTTAGACAAGCATCACAGGCAAGGAGGAGGACTTGCCAATAAAAGGCAAAAGCGAAAGCTGTTGGAGGATGCTTAAAAGTGTCCTAATTGAGACCTTCCCTTCCCTTGGCACCTTTCACCATCAATGAGTATTCGCTGATTTCTGGACACTAAATGTCCACCTACATTGTGGATCCCCCAGTGAGTTAAACCCTTATGCTGGCAGGACTGCTGACTGAAAGATTGGTGGTTCGAATCCGGAGAGCGGGGTGAGCTCCCATCTGTCAGCTCCAGCTTCCCATGTGGGGGACATGATAGAAGCCTCCCATAGGATGGTAAAACATCCGGGTAACCCCTGGGCAACGTTCTCGCAGACAGCCAATTCTCTCACACCAGAAGCGACTTGCAGTTTCTCAAGTTGCTCCTGACATGAAAAAAAAAATACACTATGGAATTAATGCACTCGCTAGATCCTTCCACACAAATCTATGGTCAACATCTGCTGGAAATAGGCCACGGAATCATCCTAGATATTCCTAGAGACAACATTTCCATCTAAATCACATCTAAGTTTAACCCACAGATGCAGAGGGTCAAATATTTATTTTATTTATTTAGCAATTTTGTATTCCAGTCTTCTCACCTCATCGAGGGACTCAGGCCGGTTTCCAACAACAATATTACAAACAATCATTAAAACATCGTAATTCAAAGTACACTAAAACATTAAAATAGCAAGTACAGTCATAATTACAGTGGTCAGTCGTCATCCTAAAATCATTGTTCGTCATCATCCATCCATATCACAGGATCTTGACTCATTCGTTGAATACCTGTTTCCATAGCCAAGTTTTCACCTGTTTTCTGAACGTCAAGATAGAAGGGGCAGTTCTAGTCTCCAGTGGAAGGAAGTTCCAGAGTCGAGGGGCCACCACCGAAAAGGCCCTGTCCCTGATCCCCACCAGACGCGCTTGTGAGGCCGGTGGGACCGAGAACAGGGCCCCTCCAGACGATCTTAGCAATCTTGATGGCTCATAGGGGAGAATATGTTCGGACAGGTAAACTGGGCCCGAGTCGTTTAGGGCTTTATAGGTTAACACCAGCACTTTGAATTGTGCTCGGAAGCTATTTGGCAGCCAGTGCAGCTGGTGCAACAGAGTGGTGTGCTCCCTGTACCCCGCTCCTGTTAGTAATCGTTGTACTAATTGAAGCTTCCGGGCAGTCTTCAGAGGCAACCCCACGTAGAGAGCATTGCAGTAATCTAGAAACCGCTGTTTCTAGCAGGATCTGCCTCCAAAGTTGGTCATGGACCGACTGGTACTGGAAATGCCTTTTAGGTCGTCAATTGGACGATACTCAACGGATTTCAAGCTGCTGTCCATTTTTCTTGCCACCCTGCCTTGACTCCCAACCATCTCTTACAATAAAGGTAAAGTTTTCCCCTTGACATTAAGTCTAGTTGTGTCCGACTCTGGGGGTTGGTGCTCATCTCCATTTCAAAGCTGAAGAGCCGGCATTGTCTGTAGACGCCTCCAAGGTCATGTGGCCAGCATGACTGCATGGAGCGGTATTATCTTCCCGCAGAAGCGACAACTGTGATCTACTCGCATTTGCATGTTTTCGAACTGCTAGGTTGGCTCCCTGGATTCGAACCGCCAACCTTTTGGTCACCAAGTTCAACAGCTCAGCGGTTTAACCTGCTGCGCCACCAGGCACAAGGGTTTAACCCATTGTACCAATAAACATATACATTATTCACAAAATCCATCACATCACTTGCAACCCGGTGGTGCAAGGGGTTATACCCTTATGCCGGCAGGACTGAAGACCGACAGGTCACAGGTTTGAATCCGAGGAGAGCGTAGATGAGCTCCCTCTGTCAGCTCCAGCTCCCCATGCAGGGAGATGAGAGAAGCCTCCCACAAGGATGGGGAAACAATCAACCAAGGCAACGTCCTTGCAGACAGCCAATTCTCTCACACCAGAAGCGACTTGCAGTTTCTCAAGTCGCTCCTGAC